TGGGCTTTGTAGATCTCAGTAGGAATGCCATCCTGTCCTGTTGCTTTATTTGAGTTCATCTGTGAGATTATTTTCTTGATCTCATCAGTAGAGGGAGGCAGGTCTAGGGCATCCAAGACTGGCAGCTGAAGAGTCTGTGTTAGACATCATGATCAACTGAGGACGGCCTATTGAGTAGGTTGAAAAAATGTTCAGCTCAGTGGTTTTTCAGTTCTTCCTGGTCTTTGATCAGGCTCAACCCATCAGATGACAGCAGGGGGGAGCATCCTGATTTAGAAGGGCCATAAACTGGCTTTATGGCACTGAAGAACTCTCTGGTGACATGCATGTCTGTGTAGTGTTCCACCTGCTCAGCCTTTCCCTGCCACCATTCATCCTGCATTTCTTGCAGTTCCGTCTGTACCTTGGACTGCAGGTGCTTAAACTTGTCTCTGAGACAGATGATGGATTATTCTGCCTGTCTGCGTGGGCCTTGTTCTTGGCCTGGAGAGCTGCTGAAATGGTCTCGTGGTTTTCATCAAACCAGGCTTGATGCACCTGGGCTTTCAGTCTGAGTAGAGTTTTTACAGTCTGCGTGATTACATCTTTAAACTGCATTCACTTTTCAGAACAAGCTCCTACAGTTCCCACAAGCAGTAAATTGCCAGAGAGTTTTTAATTAAATGCATCTTGGAAATGTTGGATTTGGCCTGGGTCTTGTAGTCTGCCGATGCTGAATGACTTTCTGACAATCCTTGGTTGCTTACGATGTAAAGGGCTATGTGCAGTTTGAGGACCGACCAGACCAGCCTGTGATCTGTCCAGCACTCAGCACCTCGCATGGCTCGGGTGATGGTGACGTCATTAAGGTCGTGCTGAGGTACTATGACATAGTCAAGGAGGCGCCTGTGTTTGGACCTGGGATGCATCCAGGTAGTTTTGTGCTTGTTTGTAAGTCTGAACATCATGTTAGTGATGCATAGGTTGTGCTCGGCACCCTTGCTCAGAAGCAGCAGGCTGTACTGTTTAGTTTTCCCACCCCATGCCTCCCAAGGACTCTGTCCCAGTTGTCGTTGTCTGCTCTCATCCTAGCTAATAATTAATATTATTATTATTAAGATTGCTAAAATAATATTTGCTAATATCAATATTAATATCAACCTTTTATGAGTGTTTGAGAAGGTGGGCATTGATCTGGTCTGATTAAGGCAGAATTTAAAAACAAGAAAGTATCACACGGAAATATATTTCACTTGACATTTCTCCTTTTCTGTCCCCCTTCTTACCAGATCTTCAAAAGGCAAGATCAGGATAACTCTCCATCTTACATTCCTTGGGAGTTCTTCCCTTCTTTATTCTGTTTCTTCTTATACCGACAGCAGCTACCAAATGATCTTGGCCCAGCCAGGCAAAAAGCTGTTCTCGCTGCTTCGAGAATTTGAGGGCCAAATATATGGTAATGGCTGTTCTGATCTGTCACAAATGTTGACCACTCATGATTAATTTGGCACAATTATTCCAGGAGAACTTTACAGACTTTAAAGGAAGAGATTTGATACAGTGCAGGTAGCAGGCAGCCCTTCCCCTGGTGAAAGAGTGGAAGCCAAAGGAAGAAAACTAGGGCAATGACTATGGACAGTGTAGACAATGGTAAAAGGGAAAGCTGCAAAATGCATGCGTGCGTACACGCATACACACACACACACACTCTCTCTCCTAGACTAGGTAAAAAGGCCAAAGAGCTTGACTGTGCCATTGGCTGATGGGCTCTGCTCCATGCAGATGTTTTTGGCCTGCATCTTTCATTAAGCCTGCTTCCCCCAATTGTTGCATAAGGAAACAGCTGATGTTATCTCAAGGAGTCCAGTGGTTGCCAGTGGCAACACTGGAGCTTCATCTCTCCTAAAGGTAAGAAACAGGTATGTTGTTACCTGCTGAAGAGAGAATCCAAGGAGCACACGCTAACATTCAGCTAGCAATCCTTGCACGGAGGGGAGAAAGGGACAGTCTCAGGTATAGCCGTACTTCAGCTGAGACAGCTGACCTGGCCACGTGGATTACAGGTGGAAAAGCTTACTCTGTGCCATCACTTTACCTGGCTATTCCCATTACATCCCCCACCCCTTTATCCAGTAAGATGCTCCTTATTTTTGTTCTGTGACTTCAGAAATGCCCAGCAAGGAATCCCTGTTGAAGACAAAGTGGCGTCAGCCTCCTGGCTCAAATTTGGCAGAAGTTTCCCAGATACAACACGGGCAAGGCTAGATATTTCATTCTGGGGGAAACCGTTATAATAGCTGAGGTTCCATCTTACACTCCCTGCCTTTCAGATCTATTATTTTGATTTCTCACCTTTCCCATAGCTTAACAGACTTTGCCTTGCACTTTTCAGCCTTGGAGCTGGGCAACTATTTGTTGTTGAAACAACTGACATCTCCAGCTTGAAAACCTTCAGCTGTCAACATTACTCCTACAGTGACAAGCATCCAGTCAGTAGCTACTTAGGGTGGACACCTCTTCTGGCAAAGGAAGAGAAGTCTAGAGCCCTCAGCCCAGAAGAAGACAATCAAGGACCACGTTAACATAAGAAGTAAACAGGAGAGACAGAAAGGAATTAAGTTCTTCTTTAAGAGCAATGAGATGGCAGGTCACATGAAGTATATTAGCACCAAAGAAGATGCTGTTACTGAGAAAAGAAGAGGTGCTCCGAACTGAAGGAAAACCCGGCAGCTCTATAGAGTTAATTCCTTTGCAACTCTACAAACAAATCTATTTTTGCTTTGGGACTTTCAGCTGATGATGGTTAACATTACATTGTTGCTGATCTAAACATCGCAGCTACTTCGGGTTCCAAAGGAGTTTTCAAACTCAGCCAGGCAACCGAACCAGCTCAGTGGATTTCGAGTATTTACTGTCCGTTCCACAAAAGCCCTCAGTTGTCAGAATGCGGGGTGCTGAAGAACGGAGCCCACGCCTTGCCTTCTGCTCACTGCCGAGGCCGGCCGGGGGCAGAGCAGCCCCCGCCCCCGCCCGGCCTCAGAGGACGCGGAGCGCCCCAAAGTCGAGCTGCCTGAGGGCTCAGCCCCGGGGCCGCGCTCCCCTCGGGGCACCCCCCCTCGAGCGGGGCAGCCCTGCCGGTCGCGCCGGGTGGCTGAGTCTCCGAGGAACCCACGGCAGGGCGAGCGCCCCAAGCCCCCGCCCGAGACTCGCCTGCGCCGCAGGATCGGGGCCAACCCGGGCGTG